AGATTTCGTTTACATCGCATACAGATACATAACTCAGACCTATATTGTATACATCTGTGTCTGGACTATAAATTAGTATTCTTTGTTCATGGCACTCAAGGGCATGCTTCCATAATTTCATGTCTGCTTCCTCTGCATTTGATGTATACCTCTCATCAGGTAAGATACTACCTCCTCTAATAACCATTGCTCTGTGATCTGTTTTGCATCCTGCAAGAATTAATGACTGGTTGACTGTTAACCTATGCATTGTGTTTTCCATGAAACAAGTCCCAATAGCTTCAACTAGTGCTCTTTTACATGATCTGCAGTTACATGTAAGATACTCTCTCCATTGACTAGGCACTGATAAGTTGGGAGTAAATGTGATGTGTACATGTACATGTACATCATTAGAGCATGACGTATTATAATCTCTTCTTTGTCTCTCAAATACTTTTGGGCTAAATTTGTCTAGTAATTGGTTATCAAAAATTATGTGTACCTCTGTAGCACCAGCCTTGTAATGGCTGTCTATGAATCTGTTGTAAAGCATCAGAGAATAGTCTAAGATACACGTAGTTTTATTTTTTCTGAGTGGCGTTATATTAATAATAAACATGCCATCAATCAGGACTACTTGTGGAAACCATTGGGAAGGCAAATTATTAGATAACACTTGAAGCTGATTCCCGTACCTACTCTCTACTTTACTAGTCCATATACACTTATTTCCCTTATGTGGGCTACCATCTGTATCACAAATTGCCCTTGGATACACCGAGTATTGCTCATCTGCAGGTTCAAATCTTTCACCAGTTTCATTCATCCATGACATCTTTCTTCTGATACACTTAATTACTTGATGTAGCTCTTTCTCTTTGCTTGTTTCTCTCTTTCTCTTTTGCTTCTGTGAACTCATTGTAAGTAGCCTTTTCTTCCTAACTGGTGCCTGTGATGTACTGGGTGTTTGTGCAATTCTGTGTGTGACATACTGTTCAAATTGTCTATTACCAATATCTCTGTAATTTAATAGGTCATGTGACTGTTCAGCTGTGGCGTGAACTTTTGAAAATGGGTTGAATAAACCTCTGTTTGACTCTAGGGAAGATGGTAGAAGTTGAAAATTTTCAATCAATTCGGTCATTGATTTGATGTTCGCCTCATCTTTCCATATCTGAAACACAAAAAGTAATTATTAAATAAAATGAAATTTATACTTACCAGTGATTCTTGTTCATACAATGTTGGCTGTGGTATTTGTTCATTGTCCTTTGAGAATAGCTCATTGATGAGGTTTTTATGTTGTGTTACTCTATATCTTAAGTAGATTGACATCTTCTGTAAGTATGCCTGTGTTGGTCTTGCAATAGCCATTTTTAAATCTTTATTTACGCACATTTCATGAGCTTCATCTAATGCAACTGAGCGACCACCATTACCATTAATACTCACAGCAAAACCACCGTTCTCAAAGCATTCTAGTACATTTTTAGGGTATGTTTGTATGTCAGCAAGATGTGCTGGTATTAGACGCTCATAGCATGTGCGATCAAATGCTGCAAACAGGGGTGCCATTAGTTTTATTGCTGCAATCCTTAAATGCCAATTTCTGTGTCGAATGGCAATAAAAAGATTAACATATGCCATGCAATCTTCAAAAACAAATCTTGCCCAAAATTGCCATGTATCATCATGTATTGCATGCTCCTCAATAAATGTGAGGAAAGAATTGTACTGCTTGTACCCCATATACTCCTTAATATGTTCTATCAGATTGATTGGTGTGTCATTGCGGAGTTCTGACTCTTTGATAATAATTGAAATATCGCCCATGACATTGGGTTTATCTATTAAGAATTGTTGCAGCATAACTCTATAGAGTGATTCCCATGTTTGTAGTAGAAAGTGATGTGAATGTTTGAAATTGGAGCAGTTTTGTAGCGCTTTAAGTGTTGCTCCCTTGAACCCAGCTGCTTCAGCTAACTCTTTAAGTCCTGCTGAGTAATATATTTTAAGTAAAACTTGTTGATAATTTTTAAGAAGGTGCCAGTCACCTGGGTATATTAGCAAAGTAGTCATCTCCTTTCCATATAAGCGCTTAACTTTCTGTAAATGAGTGTATGTTTTCCCATCACCAACCACTACTGTGTAGCCTCCAATATTGAGTGCTGGTTCATCTAATAAGAGCTCTGACACTAATTTCATAGTTTCAGTTGAGTCAGGGTTCTCATCGATCACTTCCATGTAGTATATATTGGAAGTAGGTAAATTCGTTTCCTCAGAGAGGAATTGATGTAATGGCTTAAGCAATTTCTCGCTTTGTAATGCCTCTTTACAATACATGTAACACAAGTATCTATACTCAATTTTCTTTTTCTCGTTAGACTCTTTCTCATTTTCCTTAAAACCATTCATTTCTACTCCTATTGTTAGAACCTGTTTTTCAGCTGGATTGATTACATGTACATGTACCTCTTTGTGTAGAGAAATATTTTCTAAATGGTGTTTTACTGACACTGTTCTTCTTTTTTTAGGCAATGGAGGTTTTGAGTAGTGCAACAGAAGATCAGAAGTGGCATCTGCTACATGTAGATTAGAGGGAGCAGTCATAGCTATTGTGGTATCAGGTAAATTGTGAGTAGCTATTGCCATAGTGAGCATACTATCATTAGGCATATTATCTGGGTAGTTACATGTATAATTTGAGTCTGTTGGAATCAGTGCACATGATTCATTTAAAGCAGCAGACTCTGTTGGAATCACTGATTCATTTAAAGCAGCAGACTCTGTTGGAATCACTGATTCATTTAAAGCAGCAGACTCTATTGGAATTAGTGATTCATTTAAAGCACTAGTAACAGCTGTAGCTACATGTAATTCAGTAATGCTGCTGTTATTTGTACATGTACACATACTTTCATTGTGTGTGCATCCGAGCATAGAACCAGAGGTGAGAAGTAAAAGTGGATTGGGTTGGACAATTTGAATTGTTGTTCCATGATAGCTTCTACCTTGATCGCCACAATATACAGCTGCATGTGATTTCAATATGTCAATATTATCTACACTAGTTACAGTAAAGGCGTTTGGTATCAGACTTTGACTAACTTGCTTAGCCCTTTCATTCTCTGCTATTTCAGTTACTATTCTGTCATGTGTGTCAGTTGAGCACACAATACCTAGCCTATTAAATAGCTTCATTAGCTTTCGTGACCCACCATACAATTCAATGGTATCAGCTAAGATGTAATGCAAAGGAGACAGAAACTGTTGATTAGCACAGTGCATTAGCTGACACAATAGAAAGTAGCGCATTACTTCTTTAGAAGGAGGAACAGCTTTGCCCAAGTATTCCCGTACAGATTTGGTTATGGTGCACAGGAAACGCCATAGCATTGGATTAATAGCTTCAATAGATTCTTTTAATTTAAAAGAACATGGATCAAATTTACTGTTTGTAAAACTCTGGCTTATTCTGTCTATCTCTTTATGTATCAAAGCATTAATTATTTTCCCTGCGTCATCCAATAACTCACTCTCATTATTAGGACTATTTAAGGAGAAAGCAGAAACAGAGCTCTCTGCACTGCCTTTAGAACCTAAAGCCCAGGACAGGCTCTTCAACAGGTCACCTCTCTTATTGTATAGGATAGTGCCAAATTTTTTATGGATGCACTTATAGCTCAGATGCTCATGAAGGTATATAATCAATTGTTGTAATAGCCATCTTGAGCTAAATTTCACTATTCCTTCTAGGCCTTTCAACTCATACGAAGCATTGGTAACTGTATCATCATCTAATTCAAAGCCATAAGAACAAAGAAACATTCTGCTGACATCAGGAAGTAAGAGAG